CACAGCTTCGGCGTTACTCGGTAGGTAGTAATCATTACAGCTTCGGCGTTACTCGGTAGGTAGTAACCATCACAGCTTCGGCGTTACTCGGTAGGTAGAAACCATCACAGCTTCGGCGTTACTCGGTAGGTAGAAACCATCACAGCTTCGGCGTTACTCGGTAGGTAGAAACCATCACAGCTTAGGGTTTTACTCAATGGTTTGTAACCATCACAGCTTAGGGTTTTACTCAATGGTTTGTAACCATCACAGCTTAGGGTTTTATTCAATAGTTTGTAACCATCACAGCTTAGGGTTTATTCAATGGTTCTTAATTCTTTCACTTGATTTTACTAAAACTAAGTTTCTGACAAACCACAAAGTACTGATTCCAGTTCTTAATTCCTTAACTTGATTGTACTAAAACTAAGTTTCTGACAAATCACAAAGTACTGATTCCAGTTCTTAATTCATTAACTTGATTGTACTAAAACTAAGTTTCTGACAAACCACAAAGTACTGATTCCAGTTCTTAATTCATTAACTTGATTGTACTAAAACTAAGTTTCTGACAAACCACAAAGTACTGATTCCAGTTCTTAATTCATTAACTTGATTGTACTAAGACTAAGGTTCTGACAAACCACAAAGTACTGATTCCAGTTCTTAATTCTTTCACTTGATTGTACTAAAACTAAGGTTCTGACAAACCACAAAGTACTGATTCCAGTACCAAAGGTTGTGTCTTTTACAACATTCTCTTCCAATCGCAAGAAAAGGAAGGTGTGTTTTTTTGTTTGTTTTTTTTATAAAGAAGACATGGACGAGGAAATAAGAAGATAAGCAACAAGACCAAGAAACGACGTGGTTACGAGATATACTCAGTGAACATATACATTACAAAAAACAAGATGGAAATGAACATGGTAGGACACCTTATATCCAGAACAGAAGTGACCGTGAGGAGAGGAAGTGTGAAAACATGGCTGCCAAAGGAAGACGTGACGTTTAAAATGTGACTGGAAAAGTAAGATTATTATAATATCAACGGAACTGGGAAGGAATGTGAGGAGAGGAAGTGTGAAAACATGGCTGCGAAAGGAAGACGTGACGTTTAAAATATGACTGGAAAAGTAAGATTATGATAATATCAACGGAACTGGGAAGGAATGTGAGGAGAGGAAGTGTGAAAACATGGCTGCGAAAGGAAGACGTGACGTTTAAAATGTGACTGGAAAAGTAAGATTATGATAATATCAACGGAACTGGGAAGGAATGTGAAGAACATGGCTGAAAACCGATTAAATTCAATATTTTAGTGTTTAAAATAAATCAAACTTACATCGTCTGTGAGGTATTTGATCAACACGGTGAACGAATCAAACCCTAAAGTCGTGTGCTTCAGTTGAAGTTTCAGCCAGTTCAGTTCTTTGGTTCGAGTCTCGCAGAGAGCACCCAATCGCTGGATTTCTAGCAGATACTCCCCTTGTGTCTTCCTCCTCTCCCCGGTGACAGAGGGTGCCAGGGAAGACCTGACCTTAGTCTGACCTTGGTTTGATTCTGTGAATTATAGATAACAAAAGTATGAAATCAAAACACATTCACAATTGACACATGATAGTCAGTTACGTAAGTGCTTTGGATTTAAACCAGTATTTAACGGCTTTATGTCACAGCGTTATGTAATTCACCACATGCTTATATGGTACATCCCCCCTATCAGCAATGTATACTGTACACTTAATGTAAAGCTAAAGAAAGGTGACGTTTGAAGGACAGCTCAACAAGATGGTGGTTAATCTCATTTAGTCGAAAAAGTTCCTGGTGTCGAGAATATCTTTATCGAACAAAGTTGAAATGGACAGCAGCTGCTTAATTCAGAGTGACACTTGAGGAGAGAGAGAGAGAAGCTCAGCCCGGTTTCTTATTATTTACGTCTTGGGATATCTAGCGTAGTTCATTTAAACACTATTCACGTCTTGGGATATCTAGGGTAGTTTATTTACACATTATTCACGTCTTGGGATATCTAGGGTAGTTTATTTCCCTAGATATCCCAAGACGTGAATAATGTTTAAATAAACTACCCCTAGATATCCCAAGACGTGAATAATGTGTAAATAAACTACGCTAGATATCCCAAGACGTGAATAATGTTTAAATAAATTACGCTAGATATCCCAAGACGTGAATAATGTTTTAGTTTATTTAAACTTATATGAAAATGACAGAGTACAGGGCGTTGTTCCTAAACTATAATTTCACGTTTTTAAATCTCAAGAGTGAGGAGGGGGGGGGGTGCTTAGATAAGCGAAATAAGTGATGGAAACCAGAGAGGCTATAAATACATCATTTGCTTTTAAGACATCTCTCAGTGTTAGTAAACACTTTGTCGCATTTGGAGCTCCTGGAGAAAAGAGGAGAAGCATCAGTGAGCAGTACGAAGCCAACAAGAGATTGTAAATATGCTGTCTTTACATTAATCAAACTGCACGACACCTGTCTGAAAAGAAATATTCGTTATTATACTTACGCCTCTTCTTTTTCACTTACTGCCTGTTTCGTCGTGTTAATAATCAATAAGTCAATCACCTTTTATAGCTTGCCTGTTACTAATGTTAAGACTAATTGGACTAGAATTTTAGCAGCTCCACTGGAATAAATAATTATATAATGATACTTTTCATCACAGACCTGTTTTTATAATACACATCCTTAAAGGTAAAAGTTTTGAGACGGCTTGACTGGCTAATGTACATTTATGATACAATTTTTTCGTTACCCAGTAAAAAGTGGGTTCCTCGTTATCAAGCTTTAATCCTGAGATTGTTAGTTATGTTCCTGGAAAAAAGAGTTGATACTCAGCCCAGCAAGTTAAATTTATTTTTTAACTTTTTCATCCATTTAGTATTAATAGGTCATCATATGGTTGGTGTTACTAGTTAAATACTTTAGGCTTAACTTAACGAGTTTTCTTGCCACATCAGACAAATGTAGAAGAATGTAGACAAATGTACAAATTGAATAAATCGCTACTGTTCGCCAATGGATGAACAAATATTTAAACCTAATTTTTACTTACTGCCAGAAGGCGCTGAAAACAGCCGCGGAGTTAGATCCCGCCAACTATCATTGAATCAGGCTACCCACATCAACTGAATGGAATGGAGTGAAATAAACTGATTTTAATTCGCTAAGCCTTACCTTTCAATCACTTATTCCTCGAGAACAAGCGTTATTTCTAGAGCAGGGAGTGTTCATCCATAAAACCATCATAGAAGTTTTCATTAAGCCTTACCAGCCATTTGCGGTAGCGAGACGATCGTATTAGGACTAAAATTACAGCCCGTTACGTCTTTAGGGTGTTATTACGTGCTTTACATTCTCACCAAGGGGTATGTGACCCCCGCTAGAGAATGAATCCTTAACCGCAGTGGTTACACACCCACATCTCTAGCTGATCCCGGATAAGCGTTAATCTTTTCGCAGCCGTAAAAGGATCATTAATTACAGGACAAATCTGTTTGTTTTTTAATTTCGCGCAAAGCTACACAAGGTCTATCTGCGCTAGCCGTCCCTAATTTAGCAGTGTAAGACTAGAGGGAAGGTAGCTAGTCATCACCGCCCACCACCAACTCTTGGGCTACTCTTTTACCAACGAATAGTGGGATTGACCGTCACATTATAACGCCCCCACGGCTGAAAGGGCGAGCATGTTTGGTGTGACAGGGATTCGAACTCGCGACCCTCAGATTGCGAGTCGAGTGCCTTAACCACCTGGCCATGCCGTACAGGACAAACAACAGTTGATTTACGAGACATCGGTCTCAATCTGTAATTACAGTTAAACAGGCCGAAGTAGGAGAGTACTAGATACCACCAGTTAAACAGGCCGAAGTAGGAGAGTACTAGCTACCACCAGTTAAACAGGCCGAAGCAGGACATCATTAGATACCACTAGTTAAACAGGCCGAAGTAGGAGAGTACTAGCTACCACCAGTTAAACAGGCCGAAGTAGGAGAGTACTAGATACCACCAGTTAAAACCAGTTAAACAGGCCGAAGTAGGAGAGTACTAGCTACCACCAGTTAAACAGGCCGAAGTAGGAGAGTACTAGCTACCACCAGTTAAACAGGCCGAAGCGGACATCATTAGATACCACCAGTTAAACAGGCCGAAGCAGGACATCATTAGATACCACTAGTTAAACAGGCCGAAGCAGGACATCATTAGATACCACTAGTTAAACAAGCCGAAGCAGGTCATCATTAGATACCACTAGTTAAACAGGCCGAAGCAGGACATCATTAGATGTCACCAGTTAAACGTTTACACATTGAGATATTGTAACAAATGGATATTAAAAATACATCTACTTATAGAAAGATAGTATTTTCTAGTCTAAAAATTTATCAACGCATCTTACTTAAAGCGGTTAATTTTTGTCCAGCTTTTCTTCTTAGTCCAAATCTAATTTACAAATATATTTTAAACGTTGTGTTTTTATGTTGGAAGACTACACCAAAAGGATCCGAGAACCTACGAAACGATAACAGAGTCAGAAGGCAACAATAAGAATATATGGGTGCACTAGGTGCTAAGGCTTACTTTTAGAGGGAGCTTGTACCGTTTCTATCTTGCTGACAGTAAAATATCTTTGTCGACAGAGGAAAGGCTCTTCGTATAGCTGACCATATCTAGATAAAGTATGTAAATTGAGGTCATCAGCATTGTTGGCCCTGGGGATCAGGTAGCTTCGGCTACCTTTCACCTTTCTGGTATCATAAGGCGACTCAACATTTCCAAAGTAACGGCTGTTGGAGGTAGGTTTTAGATCTGACGACATCTGTAAAACGGTTTGTCCCTGATGCGTTTCAACTTTACAGAACGACTTTGAACACTCGTCGTTGTTCTCCTCACAACAATTATTAGTACCATTTTGGAAAACGTGGACGGCTTCTTTCTCTGACGAAGATAAAACGTGAGGTCCATGGATGTTTCCAGAAGCTCTGGAATCGGTTAGGTTCTTCAGATGCACTGGAAGAGTAGGAGACATGTGTGGCTTTATTCTCATGATCTTGTAGCCAGGAGGAGGAGTGAGGTTGTTATCTTTAACACTTCTGCTGCTTCCATGGAAGAAAACTAAAGGAAGTACAGTAGAACTATTATCATTACAGCTTCTGTGTAATGGTTGATTTGAAGAGAGACAATCATAACTATTGCCATTGCAGCTTCTGTCTTCCGATACATCCTCGGAACTTTGATTTTTCTTCTTAAAGGCTGACCTTCTGGCTGAGATTATTTCTGCTTCTTGTTTTGTTAATGGAGACAAACGTCCCAAACCGATGGTATCTTCTATTTTGAGGTACCTTGGTTTTGTTTTTTGGGAAGGTAACTTTCGATTGTCAGGAGGACGGGGAGAATTGTCGGTAGAGTGTTTTGGGTTATCGTTCAATGTAGGAAGATAGACACGAGCTGAAGTTCCATTGCTTGCGACACTAGAAACGGATGGAACACCACCAGAGAAAATCGGAAGGTCTAAGGACGATATGGAGGGGATTGGTTCTACGTCAGAGGAAATACGCGAACTTTTTGATTTAAATTCTTTGGTTACTTTGAAATTGTTTTCATATTCTTCCACAACCTCACCACCGTGTTTGGAGTCCTGGTCATCATTATCTAAAGCCTCACCACCGTGTTTGGAGTCCTGGTCATCATTATCTAAGAGCGTAGTAGGACACTTCTGAGCATGTCTATCGGATTTACAGTTCTGCAAGGAGACCTCTTGGTAGAAAAGACGAGTGTAACTGTGAGAAGAATTATCATTTACGTCATACGGCTGTTTGGTACCTTGATCAGCGACCGGATCTGCGCAACATTCTCTGCATTTCAGAATGTGTAAGATACCACATCGTTGACCATCTTTCTTTTCTTGACCGGAATTAGGTAAGAAACACCTATTGTTTCCTCTATAGTCGTCATTCAGTGGGCTGGGGAGGCGCTGCCTCGAAGATCGGAGTGTCGTGTAGCCGTTTCTTGGATCCACTCGAGAGAAACCATCCAAATTACGGTTCCACTTCACTCTCATGTTTCTACTTTAATGTTCTGAAGCACTACATCACGAGCGAGTATTGTAGAAACGCTTGAGAAAAGTGCTTAGTAGGACAGACTGTCGTCATCAGCACATGGTGGACGAACAAGAAAGCATAAAACGAGGTTAGCAACAAGACAGAAATATGCGGAGTCACGAAAGTTGTTAGAGTCCTAATAAGTTAGGACTAAGCATCATGTGATAGCGACAGCAGTATATACGTAGCACATTGAAACAGAGCCTCGAACTCAGACGAGCGCCTCTCTTCTAACGTAGGTCACGATCTTCTACATCCCAGTGCTTTCACGCGCACCACCTGGACTATTGTCATGCATCAGATCGAGATTCACGTAGACAACTGTAGGTAAACATACTCTCTAACAAGAGTTTACGTCTGACCAGCTAAGACGAGGAAAGAAACGCGCGCTTTTTTTTTCTTCCCTTTCTAAGAGGAACTATTCTCTGTTAGGCACAAGGTCAGAGAGATCCATTTTCAACCCAGTGGCTATTCCCTGTAACAAGCGGTGTCCAGCTGTGTCATGGTATCACTCAATAGATCCAAGTTCTATCCAATATTCGAAACTCAAATTAAGATCTTTTTGAATTTGTAGCGACCAACTTTAACTGAAATTTCAAGCAGAATAATCAAAGATCAACATACGCACGTAATCAAATTAAAAAAATATCTACTACAGAGAAGGAAAACATTAAACAACAATTCTATGGTGTTAAATACACGCCCTGGCTAGTAAAGAAGGGAATGAACGACTGTATAGTACAGTATCAAACACACACCCTGTCTGGTAAAGAAAGGAATGAACGAATGTATTGTACAGTATCAAACACACGCCCTGGCTAGTAAAGAAGGGAATGAACGACTGTATAGTACAGTATCAAACACACGCCCTGGCTAGTAAAGAAGGGAATGAACGACTGTATAGTACAGTATCAAGCACTTGCCCTGGCTAGTAAAGAAGGGAAT